TCAGCCACAAATATTTCTGGGTCAAAGGTTTTCACTGATACCTTATAAAGAACTTCATTGCATTTTTAATATGTAAACATAACAGATAAAAGAACTTTGCTGATTCATGTATCTACAATAGTAAAATATTCTTTTCATTGTAAGGAACTGTAAAATATTATTAATATCATTGGATCGTTATAGCATGTCACTGTGGAAGTGCGCATTACCAAAGTTTTATGTCTATACAGGTTTAAATATTTTTTAAAATCCTAAATTGCAGATTGCAATCATTCTATTAGGCACTCATTTTAATAAAGGGACTAAACCCATGTAACAAATCAAAGGCAAGATGGGACAGTTAAAATGAACTGGAGATGTTTCCCAAAGTTCAAAACATGTTGTAAAAATACTTAAAGCGAATAAGTACAAAGTTTGAAACTGATAGCCATTTATGCTGGGTTTGAAAAAATAAAATGTGTATAATTATAAGAATATATTATTCTTATGGTCCATAACCAGTACAACCAGCTATACTGTTGTAACTTACTGCAAAAAGATGCATATATACATGGAGAGGTAAAATGCTGTCAGTTATTTAGACATAGCTCTAGTCATTTTAGGAGAATTTTAATATGTATGGGGAAAAATGGGTCCAGAATACATTAGATTCCCAGAATCTTACAGTTTCTTGTATGAAATGGTCTTTTTTTCTAAATGTTGTGTTTGTACATGAATAATTTCTCAGAATAAGATGCGAAATACTTTAATGCTTGTAACCTACATATTGTTTATTCTTACCACAAGCCTGTTTGGAAGCCCTGAAGAAAAAAATACAGTTCAGTCACTCTAATTGAGATGTGTGGGCCCCATCTGACTTGTGTAAACATAGCTGAGGGCAGAAGGATACCAGCATTAACCAGAGTGGTAGGTACCTGAATAATTAGGTAAAAAAGTGAAGAATTGCGGAAAATACTGTGTGCATACTATGGACAGAAAACATTAGGCTTTTGTAATGTAAATTTACACTGAACTCATTCCTGCATTGTTGGTACATCATAATGATACCAAAACGCAGATAACTGTATCGTGTACCATACAAGAAGTTTCTGCCATAATTGTTTTTCCAGTATGTGTTTTGTGATAACAACATATGTTTCCTTAAAATAGTACCTAAAGGCCTATGATAGCTTATATTCCAGATTACAAAAATAAACCTTCAGTTCAGTGAAAGGATTTTTGTTTTACTTGGCTTTGTTTAAATAACACGCTATTTAGAGTTTTGAAGGAGAAAGGAAGGATTATTTAATGGATGTGCTACAATCTCAGCATTCTATTTAAAGACTGGTAGATATGTGTAATTACTCAGACATATTACTTACACAGAAGGGCTAAAATGTGAGTGAGAAGAGAAGCACACAGGTGTGGAGAAAAAAGCGCTTTAAAAATCCAGAGAATCACCCATTCTCATGTGGACACTGTGAAGCATCCAAAATGAATAGAACAGAAACAGGCTTGGAAGGAGGAAACCACAACTTATACCACAGACTTGTTCCTATTGCATTTTCCTTAATAATAATATTTCCACCGACATAATCCTGTGAGTTCTGCAGGTCCGAAGTGTAAGTCCAGAATGAAGTTCATCAGGCTGTTAGCCATATTTGCCACATTTCATGTTCTCCATTTACTTCAGCTGTGATCTATAGCTTGTGCATTTATCCTTAATTGCCAGGGTAGAATCCTGATGCAAATGCTCCCTTCTCTTTGAGAGATGCGTTCTCTCAGCTTTGTTAAATTCTGTTATTCCCCTCAAAGATCTTTCCAGTTCATCTGCAGTGAAATCTAACTTCCTCTGAGGTACCTATAATAAACATTTTTTTTCATTATCGAAGTTCCTCTGGGAAATAGGCGATGACTAAGTGTAGGTGCATAGGGTGGCATGGCAGAAGCAAACACGGAGCAAGTGAGACACATAAAGCACAGAGATCATAGATGTTGTGTGTAGCCTTGCTGAACTGATCACTTTCTACCCTCTCATTTATCGTCACTCAAGTTTGATCTTCAGCATTATTTAATTCAGTGAATTTCATTTCATACCAAAGGCGTTTTCTGCTTCTTAAAGCAGTAAAAAAATATGCTGGATTAGAATCTAGAAGACAAAGAATACATTATGCTTGATGTTAAAGTTTCACAGTAAGAAGAGCCTCAGCTGCCAGTGTGCCACACTACCAAGCGTGTGCCAGTAAACTGGCAAGAATGGCAAGTGTATGTGGACAGCTTTGAAAACACTGTGTACATGATCAAACTCCAACGGAAATTAAGGAAAGCCTTTCCACTGACTAAACTGAAAGTAAAATTTAGGATTCATATCCCTATTTTAAGAACGTGTGACACAAAAGATATCCTTACCGCCAGTAGAAGGATGAGAAGATTAATGAGCTTTTGTTTCTCTACAGGCTGTGCCATGTAGTAGAAATGTTAAGCCTGAGTCATATACATTATTCAAGCACAGCCTTTATTATTAGCTGACTCTTCAACTGTTTTCAAGTGATTGAGCACATGCTCTGAAATTCAAGAAGGGCTTCTTGAATTGTTCACAATAAAACTGAATTAACGCTAAAGAGCTTTTTTCAGTTTAAAAGAAATCTGTGCCATTCATTCTGCTAAACCTGCAAGAAATTGCCTTTGTGCTAACAAAAAGAATGTTACAGTCTCAGTGCTTTTGTTCTCAAGTTGCGAAAAAGAACCTTTTCTGTTATTTAATCTAGTAGCCAATATTGAAACACCATTGAAACACCTTCCACATCCCTGAAGGATGCATCTATAGACAGGGCTGTTCTTGACAGCATGTCACCAAAGGTCAGGTTGAAGTTCCAACATAACTCTGCAAAATAATGGAAAAATTAACTAATACCCAGTTCCAGCAGTAACACTTTGTGATATCGGTGGCAAATTAGATGGTTTCCTTGGGGCAACCCTCTTTTACAAAGAAGTGGGAAGTGAGATACTGGTAATGTATCTTGCTTGTAATGGGAAAAATAATGAATAATGAAGCTTACACAAATGAACAAGCAAAATTTTACAATACAACCTTAAAATAACAGCATAAACTGCAGTTAAGAACTAGAAAAATTTGAAAGTTATACCTAAAGGGTGATACAGAGTAAAACACATAATCTGGGAAGTAGGTTTAGGCTGCTGTTCCACAAGCAATTGAGTCAGCATAATAGCTTGTTACCACCAGAAAGATCTCGATCCCTTCCTCACTATCTCCCCTCCTTTACCATGCCCTCAATTCCTCCTTTCCACTGCTTCAGGCCATATCGTCACCCTCCTGTGGCACTTGTTCTGGAACATGTAGAGTTCTTTACTGACCTGGCTTAAATCACTGCAGCATCAGAAAAGTTCACATTTTATTTTTCTTTTTATTGGGGTAATCTTGTACCATTTGATTGGTTAAAGTGGCTCACAGAGGGATTTGGCAAAGCACAAGTTAGCAGTGGATGCCAAAGTAAGCATCAGAGAACAAACACAGGACATCATTCTTTTACAGATTATAAACTTGTGATTTTCGGTCATGCAATCTCTTGGAATCATAGTTAGATGACTTAGTTGGCAGGGAAGCAGGGAAAAGGGCTTCCTACTGACTTCAGAGAGTAATGAAAACATTAACCAAGTATCTTCTGCAGCATAAGTAATGTCTAGTTTGACATTCAGACAAGTAGCAAAGAATATTTTTTTTATTTATTTCTTTTTTTAGCAAAAGTAATAATTTAGCAGAATACAACAGTTTAGAGAACCTGCCCCAAAAGATCCAGGAATTTCTAGTTTTAAAAAAACAAGGTTACAAGCCTGATAGCAGGGATACTTATTTGTGATATGGAAGAGCAATATAGCATGGTCTGCATTAAATGACCACTACTCTGTTAGCTGTTCTTGTTCTTCCTGTTTTTTGTCAAACCTCATAGAATCTACTCATGATTGTCCTGATGTGAAAATTTTTCAAATTGCAAAAATGGTGAGATGAAAAAACATTTCCTACTCAACTCCTTGTACCACTGGTTTAAACATTGACATATTTGCTCTGTTTTTAGAACAGAAAATATCTTTCTTTCTGAGATTGTTTACTCCATTACATGAGAGAACTCAGAGGGGGGGAAACTAATTTCTCAATAACGTGTCTGGGAGGCACTCCAGTTTCAGTTTTCTCACTTAAATGTACTTGATGCTAGGACTGTACTTGCCATTACAGAAAAGAAATGCCATCAGACAGTCCTCAAGAGGTTTGCGAGGATACCAGAAAATTTCACCAGTACTTAGCTCTCTTGCATGCTCCACTATCATGCTCCCCATCCTTTATCCCATTCTCTCCTTGACAAAAGCCCTGGCAGATCTGTCATGAAGCCTCCATTAAATTCCAACACTGCATTTCATTTTTATAAAGTGAGTGTGAATTAGGCAAGTGTAAGCATGGAATAAGTGTAGCATATAAGTGTATGTATGCAAGTGTAAGCATATAAGGTGTATTGGGCTGTAAGTGGTGGCAGCTATGTGTTGCTTTTAAAATCGCGAAGTACAAAACTGCACATTTTTGTACTAGGAGACATGGGTTGCAATGTTCTTAAGTGCCAAAGTTTTTGAAGTTGCTTTCAGAATGTATGCTCTAGTTTCCTTCCTTACTTTGTTCTGTTTTGTCCTCTGGCTCTTTATTTTGTGTCCCGTGAGCCACTGGAGTTTAACGGAAACCCTTCATAATATTCACTATGTAAAATTCTAAGCTCCACACATGCCTGCATGAGACTTCTCTTAGTTTTGTTTGGTAGGAGTAACATGTATAGCAGCACTGATTAGCAGATTGGTGTGGTCTGTTCTCTTTCTGACCAGTCCTTGCTTAGCGTTTGCATTCACCACTCTCTTCATTTCTACTGTGCAAGATCAAAGTCAAAACATCAATGATTAATCTGAGCATGCATTTTAATTATTAAATAAGGGGTTACATGCTTTGTTTAAATATTTTAAAGGAAAAGAAACTTGTGCCCCACCCAAGATCCTAGATACTAAAGTGGAGGAGAGTTCTGAAGTACCTATTTTAGAAGACACATCATCATCACCAACAGATATTCAACAGCATTTATGGCAGGTTTCCACAGATATTGAAAACACTGAAAGGTATGTGTAGCAATTAATTCCTAAAAAAACCCAAATTTCTGTCTAGAATTTTTTAGCCTTTTCCCATTAGGCAGTGTTGCTAGAGTTGGAGATACTAGTAAACTAAATAACCTGTTGACATTTCTGTTACATTTAACATATCTGAGAGCAACTCGTAAAGAAGGACAGAGAGAAGTGACATCCTTGATTAGGCTAATTACCAAAGGGTTCTTGTCAAAAACAACGGGTGGGGAATGATGTTGCTAGTGGGCCAGGTTCTCTGAAAGAGGCAGCTTTTGTCTCATCTTGAGTGGTTTCTGATTTCGTCCCTGAAATCCGCTGGCCTGCAGTTTGGCATTCATAAATTGAAAGCACAGAATCTAGTTCATGTCTGTTGTTTCTGCCTATAGTTACGAATGTGAAAGCTTTACGAAGGGAATATCGTCCACAGGTTTGTCAAAGTGGGTTTCTCTTACCCCGTCAACTATGCAGTTCAAAGACAAAAATGAGACCCTTTAGTAGGGGGTAATCCTTATGTCCAACATTTCTTTGCAATAAATACCTATTTTGATGTCTTTGTATATTAAGCTGCTGCTGAGTTTTAATGGTTACCATATTTATTTATATAAAGTGAAGTTCAGTTCTATTGAGAGAGTAACTTGGAGAATAAAACTGAGGAAGTTCTTACCAGTCATGCTGCTTCATTTCTAAGAACTATTTATATGTAGATGAATGAGGCAAGACCACATTGTTCTTGAATCCTTAAGACATCACAAGCCTGCACACAAAATTGCTAGTCTGCCATCTATGTGTAAAATAGCAACCTGTTCACAACTTCTGGCCTCTCTCAAAACATATCCAAATGTAGCTTGCTTTGTGAGATGATAGTTTGTTATCACATTTTCCATTTTCTGCCTTTTTGAAAATTTCATGCCAGAGTCCTCCTAAGAGGCATGAGAGTGACATCCCTGTTTCTAAAATTTTTCACTTAACGTGCAGGGAGCTTAAGTGTCATGGATTAGCTACATATATTATAATTTCCTTCTGAGCAGTGCAGCGCGTTCATGGCACGCTACAAAATGCTGATAATGAGTATTAAGTTGACAGTAGAACTAGCTTGTGCTAATTTTAAGGCATATTGTGTATTTTGCCACTAGAATCACATTGTGCCCACCATCTCATTTAATAGGGAATAATCAAGTGCTAGAACAGATAATAAATTTGGACCAGATATGACTAGCTTAAAAGACTGGCTTAAAAGTGCTCCTTTATTAAATCTACTGCCCTATATTTTGGTAAGTATCTTCTGATATATGTATGTGAACCAAATGCTTGCTCAATAGATTTTTGTATTTATTGCTCCATTACTTCACCTTATAAAGCTGTACTGTGAGCCATTTCCCATTCAGTCTTCAATGCTGTTCTTTTGTATCACTTTCAACTTTTGTTTCCACAGAGATATGAGAGAAATGAAAAACCTTTTGAGTAAACTCAGGGAGACTATGCCTTTACCACTGAAAAATCAAGGTAGGTTTTTGTATTTTCTTCATGTAAGAAAAATTAAGATAAGTAAAAGTTTTGCCTTCCATTTGATCAAAAAAATCTAGGGTTTTTTTTTTTACAGAAGTTACAAAAAAAAAAAAAACTCTAGGTGAAGCCTCCTCCCTACTGATTCAGTGGAGCCAGAATTTAATATGTGAATGTTGGCCTCTCAAGTTTCACGTGAAGTATTTTAGAATTTTATAAGTATGGTATCTGTAGATAAAGTAATAGACCTTTCCTGGTGACATGAAGGCAGCAGCACAACTAATTCCCTGGACAGGAGGCTTTCTTTTTCACATGTAATGAAAGCGTAAATTGCACAGACTATCATAGGGATCCTACTGAATGATGGGGTTTGCTTTACCCATACAAGGCTTGTCGCTTCGTGATATGACACTGACCCTGTGCAGAACAGATACTTGCCTTGATTCTCCTAACAGCCTGCTTTACCCCGTCGCCAGCTATAAGGCACCCTGCACAGAGGGGCAGGATCTCCATCCCATGCACGTATTTAGCAATGGGCCTTCATTTTGTGGCCCAGCAGTGTTAAATATTCCACATCTACAGAGACTCTCTTTCTTCTTGTGAACAACATTAAAAAGATAGTAATTTTTCTTCTTGATTTCTTCTTGATAATGTGTATTTCTTAAATGCTGTATAGTCTTTGCACAGTGGCAGCTGGTGAAGTATGCCTAAATATGTCCTAGATCTTGTCCCAAGTTACTAAGCAGTCTATCATTCATCATAATATGGTAAAAGATGACTATGGAATGGATGAATTCATTATACAAGTAAGAGTTTGTGGCAGGATGGCTTGATAGAGAACCATGTGAAAGGAGAAAGGGAATTGCTTATGATACATTGATACAGATGTGCCATTGCAGAGAGTGGAAAAATGCCATACAGTCTATGACTAGCCTAGAAGAAAGGAGCATGGTGGAAATAAGGAAGAAAAAGACAAATTTGGGGGATATAAAGCATACAGAAACTTGAATTCAGAACAGAGATAAAGGCATACAGGATTCTTCTCTGCTGTCTGATGTCTACGCTGCCCTTCAACACTGGCCAGAAAATCACCTGTGCTGCAGGATGGGAAGCGTGTCAGCTAGAGTTTGAAAACTCTGAGACGTGCCCCAGGATCAGATAATCATAAATGGTGTTCTTTCAGTTCCCACAGACTCCAACTGTGATCATATTTTACAGGTGACCTCTGAGAATGGATGCCTCAGGAATGGACAGTCATACTCATTATTCATATAGTCCTTAAAATTTTTGAAATATTCCAAGATCTTTAGTTAATTAAAGCTGGATAACAGTATAAGTAAATAGAACAAACAAGGAACATTATAGCTAATTAATATGTTCTGGACTTTAATTTTGACATGTATATGAATTACAAGCACTGTTTAAGAGAATGATTATGAGATGAATGCCATTGAATGAGTTGATCTTTACAAGACCTGATCCAGCTTTCAGTAAATGACTGAGTGTTCAACTGTTGATTTCAGTGACAGACAGAATGGATTTAAGGTTGCAAGACCACAAAAGCTTTACATAATGTTACTGACTACTCACAGACCTGTTTTTTTGTATGGAATTCTCTGATGTGACAGCAGGAAATTTACTGTGCTAAGAAATTTAGCTGATGTAGTTTGTAAGCTTGAGTCACAATATTAAATGATCTCTTACCTATGTTCTTTTAGTTAAGCAGTTGTTTTACAGTAATGTCCAGAGCCTACAGTTAAAACCAGGTCCCTGATGTAACCAGAATGAGGCATAGCTCTTAGACTGAAACCATGCCTGAAGATGCCTCAAATTCATAGTGAATTCTGAAAGATTTTGCTTGATAGCTCACGGACAGTGTGTGAGTTAACATTAAGTATAGGCACTAATATATACATTTTGTATGAATTTAAAAGGAGTTAATATAAAAGGTAGAAAGGTAACCAGAAACAAGGTGAACATATTGTGCTAAATTTCCCAGACAAGTGCTTTTTCTCTTTATGTGCCAAGATGTTCCAATGTTGCTGTTTTAAATGGAAATTTTCTCTGGTGTCCACAAATGGATGCCCAGTAAAGGTTTTTTTAATGTTTAAATTAAGCCAGAATTTAACTTTGCAATTTCCAAACTTGCATGTGTGCAAGATATCAAGCTACTTATCTTCAGGTTTTATTTGGGACCCTAACGTTATTCATCCATGTAGGAATATTGTGTCTTAGGTCTCCCAGCACTGGAGGTGTAATCTGCTTTAGGTTTCATCATTGAACTGGTATTCGTCTTGCCAAAATTTCTATTGCATTATCATGGAGATCCAGAGAATTAGCATTGTAAGGCTCTTAGATACAAAATTCAGGTTATTATTTGCTCTGTGCCTAGAACAGTGGGATCTATTACTTGATCCTGTAGGTGCTTTTAGGACACATAAATGATATAAATGCTTTTGTGTGTGTGCATGTGTACATGCCTGTATTAAATTGTGGTTTTTTTCATCACAGATGATAGCAGCCTCCTAAACTTGACTCCATATCCATTGGTAAGAAGACGGAAGCGACGATTCTTTGGACTGTGTTGTCTTGTCTCAAGTTAGAAGATTAAGTACAGAAGCACCAAGAAAATCATGACTTTGATTAAACCCCTATTATTTGACCACTGAAAAGATGAACATTGCTATTCTTGATTATAAAGTACATTTTCTACACTAGCCTATTCCTTTTTCTCTTCTCCATCCCCCTTTTCAAAATAAGGGTTTTAATAATTTAAGGTTATGGTGGTCAAAAAGCAGCTGTGGGATAGATCTAGCATAACTAAGGATGTTTTTACAACTTTTTAAAGTATGTTTTGCATGCTTACTTTCAACCACTCAGAGAAAAGAGACATGAATTGTGGTTTACAGATAATCTTAAAGGGTTTTTTTTTATTGTTTGAACTGCAGCTAAAAGTTTGTGCATAGTACAGTACTCTTAGTAGTATCATATTAAAATACTTGATCATATTCTAACAGTCTTTAAGCATAGAAAACTATTCAGCAGCAAAAATATTAAAGCTCTACAACATTTAAACAATATTGTAACAGAATTTGCACAAAATCTCCAGTTGCTTTTTGTGCTCTCATTCATATTTAGTCTTCCACTATATCTCAATTTAAAAGCTTCATAGAAAAATATCTTAATTTATCATAAACAAACCATATATGAAAACACCTAGAACTTGTAAATACAGAGAGATCGTAATATCTACATACTGTACAATGCATAGAAGCAACAGATTTCCTTTCAAGCCGATAGTATCTCTACAAGCGTTTGGAAAAAAAAAAAATATTAAAAGAAGGTGTATTAAAATAAACACTATAAAACTCAACACCAACCCATTTTGTTTCCAATAGAATTCAAAGCATGGTGTCTGCTTATCACTAAGTATTAACTCTTATAGGGCATGCTAGAATTATCTCAGACTGTAAGATATTAAACGTTTTACATTGTTAATAAAGTTTTCTATTTAAATTAAATGTTGTCGTGTTTCTAGTTACATTGCCGGAATATGTCTTTTTTTTCTAATTTTGTTGTCAGAGTACTGCACAAAATTTTGATAATTCTTCCATTTCATGAAGTATGTTAACAAAGACGGATAAAAAATAATGATGAATGTATAAATGCTAAAATGACAGCTAGTAGCAGCAATAGATATGAATAGGTGAGACTCATTGTATTTCAGGATGACAGGTAAGGCACCAGAACTAAACCTGTGCTGACTGCAATGCTGTGAAACCCATAACAATCTGTAACTACTGTATAAAGCAGGTCATCATACCCTTGAAGTCAGTAATACATGAGGAAGGTGACTGTGAGCCCTTCTGTCATTCCAGCATGACCCTGCATGTCAACAGGAACCAAATTCCTTCTTGCTGTGTAAGGGTTTAGCAGTGGGTAAGGAGGTGGTGTTTCCTTGTCACAGGAAACACCCATACAGTCAAATTCTCAGTGTTTTTTTGGTAGGATACACTCCCCAAAGCAGTTTATTAGGGATAGCTCTTCAGTGAACTATATCTGGTACCTAAAAAGTTTGAGGTGACTGATTTTTCTACCAAGTTTTCTCCTGGAATACTGTTTGCTGAAAAAAGAAGGAAAAACACACGTTGTCAGAAATAGTACTGTACTGTCTATAGCAAGGACGAAAAACTCAGATCTAATTCCCAAGAAGGGAAAGCAGGGATTTTCCTTCCTAAAGAGCCACACCACTCCTGTTTAGGCATTCATGTCCCTGAGCTTCCAGCACTTCTCTGGAAAGATATTTTTCTTTTCACTCAGATAAAGCAGAGTGTTTTGGTTTCTTCCAGGCTGGACTGATCTGTTCACTTTGGATCTTTCAGTCTCTCAGACAGAAAATGTATTTTTGAATAATCAGGCCCCCAAATAAATACTTTAAATGCAATGATGACAAATAAGTCTAAAATGCCTTCATGGAAATCATGTGTTTCCATAAGCAAAATTAATTCCTGAGGAATGCATGACTAAATTCTTTAAATAGCACAGAAAAAGGTAACTACAATGTGTTTTAAGATTTCAGATCACAAACTATTCTTCAGCATGCACAGTATTTAATGCGGGGAGATCCCTGCACACTCGCAAAGCTGTGTTCTTGTGAGCACGAATGCATTTTTAAGAAGAATGGAATCGATGTCCACAACAGGATGTTTTTTCAGAGTTAATTCTTCGGCATTTTCCCCACATCCTTCATGAACAATGTCCTTGTTAATCAGATCCTAGTTTTCCATAAGTAGTTAAAGAATGTCCAAAAGATGGCAGCACTGACATGTGTTTTCATTAAAAGTCTACAAAGCCATAGACTTGCTTTATGACTCCATCTCCAGAGATAAGACAGGTTTTGCCACTGTTAAAACTTGGTGGAAAAAGAACTTCTGATGTCTAATGGCTATTAAAAAATATTGTCTGGGGAGATGATCTGTAACTGCAATTAACCAATTAATTTTA